TATAACTTGAGTACTGCCCCCACCCTGTAACAGCTGGATAATATCAGTCATATAATTACATATATCCCTTAATATGACTCTTAATATCCGTAAACCCTAAACCCTAACTAGTGGAGAAAAGACACCATAAAAAAGGCTAAAGCCCTTAATATGACCCTTAATATAGAGCGTTACAGGGTGGGGGCAGTGCCTAGACTATGACAGGGCTTAGGGTTTAGGGTTTTCTATGCTCCTTGCACTGTACCCCTAAAACCTAAACCCTAAACCCTGAACCCTAAGTCCTAAACCCTAAAATCCTACACCCTAAATCCTTACACCAGGAGGGGAGTGCGGATTTGGGGTTTAGGGCCTTTGGGTTGCCGGTATGGGGTTTAGGGTCTAGGATTTAGGGCTTAGGGGTTAGGAGTTTAGGGTTTAGGGTCTAGGATTTAGGGGTTAGGAGTTTAGGGTTTAGGGTCTAGGATTTAGGGCTTCAGGAGTTTAGGGTTTAGGGTCTAGGATGTAGGGCTTAGGGGTTAGGAGTTTAGGGTTTAGGGTCAAGGATTTAGGGCTTAGGGGTTAGGAGTTTAGGGTCTAGGATTTAGGGTTTAGGGGTTAGGAGTTCAGGGTTTAGGGTCTAGGATAGGTGAGCTCAGGGCTTTGGGGTTTAGAGGCTTAGGGCTTAGGGCTTAGGAGTGGGGGAGTTCAGGGCTTATCACTTTCAGCAAATCAGGAAACTTGACTCCATCATGTGAAGTTGAAGTTTTGTCATGGGTTTTCGGTGACTGCGTATAGGATTCTCCAGGAAGAGTCGTGATTGTACATACCGGCTGTTCGCGCTTAAATTCAAAGCATGGGACATATCATGGATATGTGATACTTCTGTTGGTGTAGTTAGATGATACTCCTGAACCCCAATACCCCTAAACCCTACACTCCCCCACCAGGACTCCCCCAAACTAGCAGGGAATCTGAAAAGGCACCGTGTGACCACTACTGTCCTTTTAAGAGGGGCGGGGGAGGGTATGTGACCTAAACCCACAAATCAAAGTCCTAAAGTGCAAAGCCGCACAGAAAGTCTGAAGCCCTACGCGCCTAGATCCTAAAACCTCAAACCCAGACTAAAGCCCCTCAACCCGTGACCCTCAGCAAGAAAACCTTAAATCCAGTCCCTCATCTTCTTGAACCCGTATCCTTTCGGTTCCGTGTTTGGGTTTTAGGGTTTAGGGTTTAAGAGCCCCTCTACGACTGGTTTAGGGTTTAGGGTATAGGGGGTTTTAGGGTTTAGGGGTTTAGGGTGCAGACTACACCCTAAGCCCCTCAACCCCCATACCCTAAACCCGCAACCAGTCCTTTTATAGAAATTGAACCTGGCCAGGCCTTCCAATTTGGTCGCAAGGAGTTCGCAAGCGCCATGGGGAAGTGTCAGGAGCTCTGTGAGTTGTGATATCAGGGTTACATTTACAATGGACCCTACTTGGAGTTACTAAGTCGGTTATAAGTACAGCAGACCTCCAAGTAAGGGTCCAAGAGCCCAAATCATAGGGTTTTAGCGCGTAACCCCAACCCCTCCAAAATTAGGACCCTATGACAATCATATGATGGTTATAGGGTCCTAATTTTTGGGGCTGGGGTTACCAAAGCCCTTTTCTTATTCTAGTCCCTCTACCACAGTTCCTTGAATTTCTTCTGGATGCTCTGGGCAACTTTGCGATTAAAATATATATCGTGTATAACCCCAATATGATTATATACCCTAAACCTATAGCAGTTTTCTTTTCCAATATCCCTATATAATCCCGCAATATAACCCCAAGCAATCCTGAACCCTAAGGGTAGTTGATAAAGTCTGAGAAGTTACATAGGTATCAAAGTAGCGTGATTGACGTGAGTTGTTGTCAGACCTCACCCGAATGTTTGTGCACCTTGTATTCTTCATCTCCTCGTCACAGAAAAGAGACTAGGCTAGCTAACCCATCCCAGCGATGATAATCCAAACACTATGCCCTACTCTGGGCCAGTTAACATGACATGGGTATCTACTTTTATAGTCACTCTTTTGAAGTTCCTCAACAGCAACCCAGTACTACGAAGCTGAGCATTCAGACTGCAGAAGCTTCTTTGGGCCCTAGGCGCAGAGAGGCAAGAAATTTCCCAAGGTCTCCGTACCACGTCATCCTCACGGTGCTTAGTAGGGGTTGCCTAAACCCCAGACGTATGCAAAAATAATAGGCCTGAACCCATCATAACAGCCATGAAGGCTATGATTTTACATACTTTTGGGGTTTAGGTGAAGGTTAAGGGTTTAGGGTTGCTCATTAGGGGTTGGGGGTTAAGGGTTTACCCTAAACCCCTAAACCTTAAACCCTAGGGTTTAGGGTAGTTTGGAGTCGCCAAGGCCTTATGCTGGCAAGGTCAGAGGACCTAGGGGAGATGATCAAAGCAAGGCAGTCAAGGGTTCAGGGGTTTCTGGATTCTGGGGAGTTTAGGGGTTTAGGGTTTAGGGTTCAGGGTTTCAGGACTCAGGAGAGTTTAGGGGTTTAGATGAGTTTAGGGTTTAGGTGGTTTAGGATTTAGGTTGTGTAGGGTTTAGGTGGTTTAGGGTTTAGGTGGTTTAGGTTTTAGGTGGTTGAGGGTTTAGGTTGTGTAGGGTTTAGGTGGTTTTGGGTTTAGGTGGTTGAGGGTTCAGGTTGTGTATGGTTTAGGTGGTTTAGGTTTTAGGTGGTTGAGGGTTCAGGTTGTGTAGGGTTTAGGTGGTTTAGGGTTTAGGTGGTTGAGGGTTTAGGTTGTGTAGGGTTTAGGTGGTTTTGGGTTTAGGTTGTGTAGGGTTTAGGTTGTGCAGGGTTTAGGTTGTGTAGGGCTTAGGTGGTTTAGGGTTTAGGTGGTTTAGGGTTTAGGTTGTGTAGGGTTTAGGTGGTTTAGGTTTAGGGTTTGGTTCTCCTGCATGCTGGAACCCTTGCCCTATCTCAAAAGGTGCATGCGGGCCTCCCTCAAAGGAGCCTGCCAACCCCGAAAAGGCCCCAACGACTACCAAAAGCCCTTAACTGCCCGAGGGGCTTTTGGGTTTGGGGGAGCTGAAGTTAAGGGGGCCCATAGCAACCCCATGACTTTGAACGCTAAACCCTAACCCTAAAACCCTAACCCTGAACCCTAACGCCTTAAACCCTGAACCCTAAAATCCTGAACCCTAAAACCTTAAGCTTTAAACCAACCATCCATGGTTAAGGGAGGTTTAGCGCTTCAAGGCTCAGATGTCAGGGGTGGGGATGTGGGCTCCATGATTTCGCGGGGTTTGGGCCTGAAAAGTCAAGCCCAAGGCTTTGGAATATTCAGAATTCAGGGTGTAGGGGTGTAGGGTCTGGAGTTTAGGGCTGTAGGGTTTGGAGGAATTTTAAGTTACCACAAAGTGGAGATATGTAGATGTATGCAGTAAATGTTCCATGGCCCCATGCTGTGAGATGGTGTCCTTCTTGGAGGCCCCAATACACTACGGCCTGTTACATTTAGAATACGCCAAAGAGTGAGCCAAAATCAAAACACATTTTAGCGGGCCTCAAATCATTACCCCTGATCCTCAACAAGGGGGCCCCAAAACACATTTTAGAGGGCCCGAATACTAAAGGAGGTCCAACATTATTCCATAATACGACCCGTATGCATCAGATATGTGGGGAACATTGACTGTAGCACGCATAGCCTACATATTCTTCCAGCAACGCACAGGGGCCTAAAGAATTACCTACCTACAGAAGTACCGAGAAGATGGCTCCAGATCCCTTGTCTGGCTCTGGTATAGGATACTTGAGTTTAGGTTTTGGGCTCGGTAGTTTTTCAGGAAATACAGTACATAGTCACTTTACTACAGAACCCCTACATAAACCCAGTTGCCATTGCGTGTTCCATGATGTTGTGCGTTTGGTTCTCGATTTTTAGGAGCCTGTGTCCTAAACTGTGGTGCTCAAACTGTAAGTCCATAGCCTGAAGGCCACAACCCTTCATTGTGTTTTGGTTGACCTGCCGGGGCTGTTTGCAAGTAGTCAGTAAGGGTATACCGCCCGAAGCCAAGTTGCTTCGTGTAAATTCACAAGGTGTGGGTAAGCCACCCTAAACCCTGAACGCTAAATCTTATGAGTTCCCTCAGCCGCCGCCCTACACTACCCCCTTAGGTTCTCCCTTCATTTGCCTCATCCTGGAGTAAACCCGATTATACGGGGAGTAGTCAGGAATACCATAAACTTTAAACCCAAAAGCCTCAAATCCCAAACCTCAAATTTTGGTCCCCCACCCCCACCTTCAAGGACCTTAAACCCTAAGCCCCAAAGCCCATCACTACCCCTCTCGAAGGACCTATGCGTAGTGTTGCTGGTGTTCGAGTTTTGGGCCAAAGCTAAGGGGGTGATATGGGTTACTGTCAATATTAGCCTCATTAAGGGACCCTTAACAGTGGACATAGGGGTCCCTCTTGTAGTTGAACATATTCTTTAAGATATTCTCTAATAAGGAACCATGTCCATTAGATTGGGTAGGAAATCTTGACTGTAAATATGGGTTTAGGGATTACTGGGTTAAAGGTGGATCTGGGTTTAGAGACTTAAGGATTAGGGTTTAGGTTGTAGGGTGTATGCTTAGGGCTTATTGAAAGAGTGTGAAGCCCCAAAATTTTCAGAACCCACCTTACAATCCTCCATGAGCTTTGTACATTAGAACGCCAGACAACTTTAAAAGCAAAGCCCTGCATTCTCCCATATCCCTAAAACGCCTGTAAAGGAACCGTAGTGGCATTAATGAAGGAATGGATCTTTGCAGTTCCTGTATAACCCCAGTAATATGGTTGTTTTCATTGTCTCCTACAGACCTTCATTCCCTGCCAACCAGAGGTAAGTTATATAACACATAACATCCCGAGTTCAGAGGTCATTTTCCATTTGATTCACAGTAGTATATCCCCAAACCCTAACACAGTAAAACCATAGACCCTAAAGCCTAAACCCTAAGACCCTGAAGCCTTAACAAAAAAACGGAACCCTGAGTCACAGTAACGTCAGTCCTCTACGAGGTTGTCGGGCAGAGAGCGCTGCTGGGTACCAACCGCCGCGTTTGTCCCTGCGTTTACGGATTGAGGAGTTAGGATTTAGGGTTTAGGGTTCAGGGCTCTGACGTTTGGGGGGTGAGATTTAAGATCTAGGGCTTGTTCGCGGTCAGGGCTTAAGGTTTAGGGCTTTAACTTTCAGGCCTTAGAGACTAAAAGCTAGGGCTCACGCAGGGTTTAGGACCTTAAGATTAAGTGGACCTTTTACCACCAGGTGAGCTATAGTCTAAACTCCTGGAAGGGGGTTATATAGGGCAGTATAGAGGGAGCATAATAGGGCTTATGAGGGGGGATATCAGGAGCTTTGACTATAGATCATGTAGCCATTTTCCCCAGTAGCTTGGAACGCCCAACCGGTACCCCTATTGGCTATCTCCTACACCCTAAACCAGAGATTTTGATTGCAGCAGATTGTAGGACGGTCCAACGGGAAGGCAAAAGGGAGCATGGTGTTGCATGTAGGTTCAGGGGTTTAGGGTTGGGGCTCATCATTTCCTCATCATTTTCTCATCATTTGTCATCATTTTGCTGTTATTTATTGTTGCCTAGAGGTTGAGGGTTAAGGTCTAGGGTTCAAATTTAGAGGTGTAGGTTTAGGGTGTAGAGATATGGGGTTTTGGGTTTATCCAAAGCAGCCCTTGGCCTAGTACAGGGTCTTTTTTAATGATACATATTTCCAGGGAATGTCTGGGGGAGCATTTGCGAGAAGCGGGATCAAGAGACAGGCAGAAGTCTCTGAAGGGTGAGTTATCGTATATGAGAGTCTGTGTTGGGACTCCCCTCATTTATCCTCCATTTACGGAGAACCAATATAACATGAAACATTGGGTTTCCCGGAGGTTGCAAGTAAGTTCAATCTAGACCCTTTCATAGTGGTTGAACTCCAAAAAACGAGAAGTCTCAGCTTTTCAACTCCAAAAAACAAGAAGTCTCAGCCTTTCAGCTCATGTTTCGCATGCTGCCATGATGTCTCAAGGGCCACAGGTTGTTCAAGTACTCTCACCTGTTTTGTTCTAGTCCCTCCATTATCTGGGTTGCTGAGAGGGAGCTTTTTCAAAAGTACTATAATACTGAATCCCCTCTATTTACAATGTACTTATAATATGGTAACTTAATTTAAGCTCCTTAACGGAAACCCATTTATTCGAGGTTCAGGTTAAGGGTTTGTCTCCTTAAAGCGGGTTGATGTAGGAATATATTGGGAGTTTCTGAACATGATACTTAGGGGTTCAAGGTCCCTAAACCTAAACTTTAGGGTTTACGTACAATACTTCAACGTGAACCCCCCCACAATTCCTAGGCAGTCTCCACACATCCCAGGACCCCTAAACCCTA